CATCACCGGGGGGGGGGGCGGGCCCGCGAAGCCCCGCGAGCTGAACGAGGTAGAAGCCACCCCTGCATGAACGAGGTAGCTGAACGCGCCTGTGGACCCCCGGGGCACGACCAGCATGAACAGAAGACGACCACACTAAGTCATCGCAGACGCAGCAATAAAAACAGTACGCGCAGCCCCGCGCACGGACGCCAAGGGGCAGTGAAAGTCTGTTCCGTCAGGTGGTGTAAAAACGCAGTCCCCGTCACCGCGCCCAGCTACGCCGCGTTCAGCCGCGCGCGTGCCCACCGATAGTCAAAGCGGATTGTTCTCCAAGGTGGCGTTGATCTGCTTCTTGCTGATACCCCGCAGCTGAAGGGCAGACGTATTTGGCATGAACCGCTCCACTTAATGTCTCGAGTGCTCTGGTATGATCAACTCATCGGCATCATCCTCATCGGAAACACTGAATACGCCGCGGCCCCCATTCACACCGACCTTGTGTGTGTGTGTGTTTGTTTTTTCTTCTTGCAGTCCGCCTGGCGTTCTTCTTCAGCAACGTCTTGGTCGGCTCCTAGATCCGAGCGGACTGGAGCGCCAGAGCTTGCGCAAGCAAAAGGGCGGTCTCCTCTGCAGCGGAGCGTAGCCGCCGTGCTGTGCCTCGGGCCCACCCAGCGCGCCTGGTCATCGTCGAAACGGCTCTGAAACTGCTGCGCCTGCAGCGCCGTTGGGAACTGTAGATTGTAGCGCTTTCCAGCGCCAGTAATCAGCGCCACCACACCCTCAGTGAGTTCAAGGTACTGTCCACGCACTTGTTCGGCCGAACGGGTATTGGCGAATACCGAGCGTGGCCACGCTCACTGCGTGGATCTTCAGGTATTTGTTCCACCGCGGCAGGCTGGCGATTCCGAGGAGAAAAAGGGCGATCACCATTCGACAAGTTTCCCGCTGTACTGGCCGCACTGGAACCCGTGGCCTCCAGCGCCGCAAAAAAACGCATGCGCATTGCCTCAGGCTCTTTGTCATGCGTCTCGATCTCGGTCTGGACATGACCAATCTCCTCCCGCACGCCAGTCATATGCGTGTTGAGGGACAAGGAAATGTCGGTCATCTGTTTCATCACTGCCTGGTGCTGGTCCTGCATGTGTTTCAGCGTAGCCAGGCCTTGTTCCTTCATGATATCCTGACACATGGTGCGGAATTTTGCGCTGCCGACCGTTGGAGACCTCGGTCGACTCTCTTCTCCAGAGGGCTTCTGCGCACGACGACCACCCATGGCGGCTGCCTCTGCCTGAGGTGCGATAGGTGCCCGCTTGGGCTCGACACCCAAGATGGCCTGTACAAAAGAGGTTGCCCGCTCAGACACAATGGCATGAGCCAGAATGGACGAGGAGGAGGAGGGGGAGGAGGAAAAGGTCACGGACGTGGAGGAAGAAGATAAACATGAAAATGATGCCAATGACGGTCTTTCTTAGAGAACCTTCCCAAGGACCACACGATACTGTCTTTGGGCCTGCTTGGGCCATCCCTGCTTCCTCTTAGCGATCGCTCCTCTGGGTGCTGCCAGCGACAGAGTTCGATGCCACAATCGTTGCGTAGCCCAGCCTGCGCGTGACTTCGTCACTCCTCCCACGCACAATCAAAGGCTCTGGGCCTTCTTGCCCCCCCATCGCTGGCCGCCTGGTGCCACGGGTCTTGACGAGCGTTCCTCGTCTTGCCCTTCCTCTTGTCGCACCTCGCTTTGCCCAGAGCAGCCCAAATTCACACGGTCGCCCACGATGGACATTTGTACTTCAATCTTGTGCGTTTGCGCGAGAAGCGGAATCGACCTCCAGCCGATTGTAAACTGGGCGCAGCAATAACGCTGGGTGCCTCTCCCCACCCCCACCTGGCAACCCCCCCAATCGACCTCGCCCCCCCCGCCGTCCTGCCACGGGGGCTACGAGCCACGGCATCGCCGCGCAGAGCGCGACGGACCAATTGGCGTGAAGAGCGGACTGGCCACTCCAGCCCGCGCAATGCCCGCGCGCCGGAACACGTTCGCGGGCCCCGTCCGTGGACCCAATCAGTCACGAAGGCCCCCCGATCCAAGCGGGCGCGGTGTGGAAACCAAAACCGACCCCGAGGCTCGTCCGACACAAAAATGACAGGATTCACCATATTCTGCCATATTTTCTGTTTTTGTCTCCCCCCCCCACTTCCCATATTTTCCCATACTTTCTGGGGAATCGACGATGAATTGTGTCTGTGTTTTTTTCCCCCCCCGTTCCGGTACTTCGCCTCCGGGTTCCTGCACAAGGCGTTCCTTTGCATGCACTTCGCCTTCGGCGGCACCGCCTGATTCCAGTGCTTTACCCTCTCTTGGCCTTGACGTGAGGCCCCTCCTTCTGCCTTCCTCCCTCTGTCCATTGAAGCTGCGCGCGGCCCGCTTAGCTTCGACCAGAAGCGGCTCGCTCTCGACCCGCGGATCAAAAAAGTGTTTCCCCCCCCCCCCCCCGAGGGAGGAGGAGGAGGAGGTGGAGGAGGAGGAGGAGGACGGAGGGAGGGTGGGAGGGAGGGAGGGAGGGAGGAGGAGGAGGAGGAGAAGGAGGAGAGGAGGAGGGGCGATTCCAAAACGCTGACGTGCTGTTGTCGGCGCCGCGCCGGCACGGAACTCCTGCCGGGCCGGCGCGCAGCTCGGGCGGCCGTGGCCGCGGCTGATCGACAACAGGCCTCGGCGAAGAACGGCAGGAGGAGAGCGCGACATTTTTTGGTTTAGCATCCATAGAGCGCCCAGTGGCAGGGGGGGAGGGAACGACGACGAGCGGGGGGCGGGAAGGGAGGGGGGAGAGGGGAGAGGGGGGGGGAGAGGGGGGAGAGGGGCCAATCCCAGGAGGCACAGCAAACACCTCTCAGGAGGCGCGAGGGCTTCTGAGAGGCCCCGCCGCCCTCCGAGAAGGCCCTCTCCTGCCTCGCCCGCCGCCGGGAGGCCTCGGCGAAGAACGGCCGTGGGCGCGGCCGATCGACGGCAGGCCGGCGACGACACGTTGTCCGACAATCCCAGAACTCTGTGCTTAGAGTGACGTCGAGCATGTCTCCCTATCGGGCGGAGTCTGGACGAAGGATCCAGCAGATCCATCAGAGACTCAAGAGTGGTCCAGAAATAATCCCAAAGTGTCCCCAGACAGTGTTCTGACCATGTTTGGACATCCCTCCTATAGAGGGGCACGCCCGACGTAAGTTTCGTGGGGCCGAGAAGAGCGGCGGACTGCCTCTTGGCGGCGGACAGGGAGGGCGTGGCGCCAGGGGCGGGGGGTCCCTCCTGGGAGGCCAGGGGGGCTTCTTGGAGGGAGGGCGCCCTCCTCAGAAGGGGGCCCACGGGGCCGAGAAGAAGGCCGCCTCGAGGCCAGGGAGGGCTCGCAAAGGAGGCGCCTGCCTTCTCTTAGAACCCCCCCCCCCGCCTCCTCGAGGCCCCCCGCGCGCCACGCCCTTGCGCAGCCCCCGCGTGCGCGCCGCCCCTCTTCCGTGAGCCTCCTCGCGCGTGCGCCTCGGCACGCTCGGCCCGGACAGGTCGAGGAGGCCGGGCGAGCGAGCAGCAGCGGCGGCAGAGCGGTGGCAGAGCGGGGGCTGCAACCTGGAGGGGGGCGAGGATACAGGCAAGAGCATTGACAACGAGGAGGAGGAGGAGGAGGAGGAGGAGGAGGAGGAGGAGGAGGAGGAGGAGGGGGAGGAGGAGGAGGAAGGAGGAGGGGGAGGGGGAGGGGGAGGAGGAGGAGGAGGAGGAGGAGGAGGAGGAGGAGGAGGAGGAGGAGGAGGAGGAGGAGGAGGAGGAGGAGGAGGAGGAGGAGGAGGGGGACGAGGAGGAGGAGGAGGAGGAGGAGGAGGGAGAGGAGGGAGAGGATGAGGAACACCGAATCTATCATTCACAATCGCTCGTTGAGGACTCAACGACTTCTGCTGCGCATCCACTCGCGGTGGGAAATGCACACCTTGCTCCAGATTTCCGTGGAGATCTCTGGGTTCATTCAGACGCGTGCAGATTTACCTCGATTTACCTCGCCTGATGCTCACAAGTCGATTGGAGAATAATCGTCAGGCCAGTGTGGTAACATTGGCAATTGGAATGTCCCTGCAGTCTGAGCATTCGTCCATCACCGAAACCAATTCAGGACAGGCACTGGGCAAGTTGGCAATCCGCCAATCCCGCAATTCTGGCAATCTTGCTGCCCGAGCAGTCTGGATCTCCAGACGGTCCAATAAATCTGCAATCCGTTCTGTCCACCAATCCTGCTAGTCCTGGCCATTCGGCAATCCGCCAACACCAACAGTTCGGCATGCGTGCAGTCTGGCAGTCCTGGTAGTGTCGCCAATTCCTGGGGCGCGACAGTACGGCAGTCGCGATAATCTGCCTGTTCTGCAGCCCTGGCAGTCCAACAGCCCCAGCAACCTGGCAGTCTTGCAACTTCCCGAACACAAGAACAAAGATGGCCACAATGTGGCTGAGCCTTTTTTTGCAGCACCGAGCCAAGGACGGTCCTGCAAACATGCTCACGAGCGAACTACTGGAAGACAAAGCCAGGGTATATGTCCACGCGCCTTCCCTCCCTACCCCCCTTCTTTAATTCCTCCTCCTCCTCCTCCTCCTCCTCCTCCTCCTCGTGCTAGATCCATCCCCCTTCGCCTCCTCCCGATTCTTCCTCCTTCTCTCCTCCCCATCCCTCCCTATCCTTCCCTCGTTCCCTCCCCTCCCTCGCTCCCTCCCCTACCACTTGCCCGGCCACTCTCTTTGTCCCCTCCTTCCCACACTTCACGTCCTTTCTCCTCCCCTCTTGTCCCATGCCCCCTTCCCTCTCCTTCTTCCCTCCTGGGGCCGTCTGTGCGCTCCCTTAAGCACCCACTCCACAAGTAATGCACCTCATCCTGCCCCCCAAGAAGGCCGAAGCAACCCCCCGAACCTCTTCAACCGTGCTCAGACCCCCGGTCATAGATCGCGGGCGACGTCGACGACGACCACGAAGGCTGCACTACGTTTGCGAGTCGTTGTAAGCCTTGACGCCGTGCAACAACCATGATCCCTCTCCCGTTCCTCTGCAGCGCGCGTGGAGAACCCATGGCGCGTTGATGTACTAAAATTGCTCGCCTCGCCTGGGCGGTCGTTGGCTCGGGCCTATCCGAGCGCGCCACACGAGGAGGGGAAGGAGGGCTCTGCTTCTCAAGAGTTGGACTCGCGGGCGCAGCGGCGTCGGCTACACGCACGAGTGGTCCCTGGCAAGAGCGACTCTTGGCGCGCGGCCCCCAGGGGGCCCAGGGATGTCAAACCCAGAGGGCGCAAGGCGCTGCCGCCGCACCGCAGTTGGCGATCGGAACTCAGACATGCGACGTCCTGATTTTTTCAAGACGGCGCCCCCGGAAGTCCCGACCCGTTCCCCGGGGCCGGTTTTTCATCCTGAGTCGTTTTTTGACGGTCCCGAGGCCCGGCGAAGGCCTCTACAGCGCGGGAAAACGGCGAAAGAACCTCCGTCCTGAAATTTTTACGACGCGAGCATGTCTGGGAAGACCCCCCGTGGGCCCGCACCAAAGGCCCCTCCGGCGAAAGGCCACTCCTACTGCGAGGCCGGCGGCGGCCCTCGCGCCTCCGCGAGCCCTCACGCGGCGCCTTTGAAGGGGCAGCCCGAGGTCTTGAAGGGGCAGCCCGACTGCGCCAGCTGGGAGCCGAACACCTCGGGAGGGCGGAGGCGCGGAGGCGGGGAGGAGGAGGGGGAGGAGGAGGGGGAGGAGGAGGGGGAGGAGGAGGAGGAGGAGGAGGGGGAGGAGGAGGAGGCGGAGGAGGAGGAGGAGGAGGAGGAGGAGGAGGAGGAGGAGGAGGAGGAGAAGAGGGGGGAGGAGGAGGAGGAGGAGGAGAAGGAGGGAGGAGGAGCCCCCCTCCCGCGGGTGCAACGGAGAGAGAGAAGGAGAGAGGGCGGGCGGAGCCCCGGGCCCCCCCCCTCGCGCGCGTGCAGCGGACCGCGCCGTCTCCAAGGCACTGCGGCCGCTGGGGGGGCCCTCGACTGGGCCTCGGGGCCGGGGAGCACGGCGCGGGGCGGAGAGGCCGGGGGAGAGGGGTCCAGAGCCCTGGAGGGCAGCGTGGTGCACACGATGCGACGTCGGGGGCGGCCTGGAGCACGGGGGGGGAGGAGGCGGGAAGGCGTGAGCTTGCCGTCGCTCGGACGTCCCTTTCCCGTGTGCTTTTTTCCGGTTTCGTGCGTGTTCTTGTTGTGCTCGATCGTCCAGGAGGCTCCTCGATGGTTCTCGACAGGAAAAGAGGGACACGTCCGAGCGATGCCAGGCGATTCGGAGAGGGCGGGGCAGGAGGAAGGAAGGGCTGGGAAACGGGGGCGCCGCGTCGAGGGGGGGGAGGCGAGATCCCAGACCTCCACTGCTCCATGGGCGCCAGCGCTCTGTGGCTGGTGGGGCAGCAGGAGGAGGGGGGGGAGGAGCAAGGGGGGGAAGGAGGACAAGGGGAAGGGGGCGAGGAGGAGGGAGGAGGAGGGAGAGGAGGAGGACAAGGAGAAGGGGAAGGAGGAGGGGGGGAAGGGGGAGCGGAAGGACTGGGGAAAGGGGTGCGCGGGAGGAGGGGGAGGAGGAGGACCAGCGAGGAAAGAGAAGGAGGAGACCTCGGTCTCCACGCTCTTTGCGCCAGCCTTCACCAGCTCTGCGGACACCTCCTGCGGCCATGGGACGCTCAGGCGCCCAAGGGGCCGCGGGGCCAAGGGTGCAAGCAAGCGTGTCACGCCCCCAGGCAAACAAAGCGACCAGCTCCTCCTCCTCTTTGTTCTCCTCGTCCTTTTACCTTTCGCGTTGTCCTGGCAGTCCTGTTATTGCTTCGCCTCCTCCACCCCTTCTCCTGCTGAGTGGTTCCTCCTCGTCGGGCCGCCAGACGCTTCTCATAGGGCGGGCTGGACTAGCTCGGCACAACTTAAGGCCCTGGATCTGACAATCGCCAGCAGTGGCACGGATGGAAGGCTAGTGGTTTTCAAAAGTCGGCTCTCGCCCTAGGACCACATGCCTTCGTCCCGAATGGCTGCAACAATTGCACGGGTGGAGAGTGGATTGCGTTCGTCGCGTACCAAAATCGCGCAACAGTCACACGGATGGAAGACGGCTCCTTGTCAAAGTGAGGTCTGGCTTGGGATCCTCTCGGCAATGAAACACATCGCTCCAGTACGCAGCGGTCGCACACACGGAGAACGTTCCCTTTTTAACCATCCATTTCCTGCCATACACTCCTGGTGCCATGCACCATGACATTCCTGAATGCCCCGACCATCCTCCTCCTCCTCCTCCTCCTCCTCCTCCTCCTCCTCCACGTCCTCCTCCTCCCTCTCCTACTCCTCCTCCTCCTTCTCCTCCTCCTCCTCGTCCTCCTCCTCCTCCTCCTCCTCCTCTTCCTTCTCCTCCTCCTCCGCCACGTGCTGGGTGGACCTTCCCATTGTTCGTCCAGTGCCAGCCCGTTGGCACTTCGTGGGCGGCTCTCGCTGGGCGGTAGCTCCTGGCGTTCGCCTGCTGCCCGCCCGTTGGAGTCTCGTGGGATCCACGCCACGCCACACAGCTAGCACCACATGGCCTGCACAACCTAGCTCACACCTCACAGCTTGCACCGCATGGCTTACACCGCTCAGCTGGCAACGCCTGGCTTACACCACACAGCTCGCACCACATGTCCCACACCACATGCAGCTTGCACCGCACAGCTGACACCGCAAAGCTTACACCACACTGCATGCACATCCAGAGCGCACTGCGTCATCGTTTGTGACCCACGCTGGCGGACACAACTACGGAGATGGATGGGCATCTCTCTCAAACCAGGGTTTCCGCCAGAAGGTCCACGGAACGCTCGTCTTCCAAGGGTGGCGCTGGGCGCTCCTGATGCAAAGGAGCGCCTGCAATGACTCACGAGGAGGGGACTTGGAATGTGCGCGTGTGCTTGTGTGTGTGCGTGTATGCGTATATGCGTGTGCGTGCATGCGTGTGTGTGTGTGTGTGCCTGTGTGTGCTTATGTGTGTGTTTCTATGCGTGTGTGCTGCAACGTCGCTGATGTACACGGGGTTGCCCTGGTCCCCCTCCTCCCCACCCCTTCCCGTCCTCACCATCCCCCAGTCCTACCTGCTGCTCCTGGTGCTCCACTGCCTCCTCCTCCTGTCCGATTGCTGTTCACTGAAGTAGTCTCGGCTGGTCGGGAAAGCTTTACCTTCCGGGATGCCAAGCGGCCACTGCACGAACGTGCTACTATCCGCTCTACCCGTCCATTGCGACACCTGCGCGGAGTCAGCAAGAGTCGCACGAGCACAGCTGCGCAGCCGGCAAGCTTTAGGTAGGGCATGTCCTCCTACAGGCGGAAGTGGTATGAAAAATTAAAGATGGTTAAACAATACTCAACAAATCTCTTTTTTTACAAAAAAAAAAAAAAAAACATCGTCCCCTGACTATTGGTGTACTATTTTTGAGTATTCCTCCTGTAGAGGGACAAGCCCGACGTAAGGCACGCTTCGCCGACGGGCGGCCGGCGAACCCTCAACCACTGCTCGCCCTCCCAGAACCTTCCTGTCCACCCTCCCTTCCCTTCCCTCTCAGCAGCGACACGCACCGTTTACCGTTTTGCGACGTGGCTCCTGAGCCATACCGGGACCAGCAGAAAATGGACCAGGATCTCCAATTGCCGGAAAAGATTTCCTATATCCCTGAGGACCGTGAAGCTACAGGAAACTGGCGAAAACGTCAACGCATCATCCTCTTTCCCCTCTTCCCTCCCCCTCGTCCATTTTCTAAATGTTATCGACACGCGTCGCACCAAGTGCAGTCAGATAACATATCCTCCTCACCGCGGGAGGAGTATAATAAGGACGAGGGATGTGGACTGGTGAGGAGGAGGAGGAGCAGGAGCAGGAGGAACAAGGGAAAAAGGGGAGGAGGAGGAATGAAACGGAAGAGATGAGGCAGGAGGGGGAATGGAGGACTGAGCGGGGGGGGGGATTGATTCAGCAGGACCGAAGGCGACAAAACGGAGGAGGAGGTGGTGGTACTCCGCTCATGGTCTTTCTGCAATTATACAGCGATCGTTCTGTGACCGCCGTGCGCTATCAAGATGAAGCCGCCTCGAGAGTAATTCAAATCTTTTTCTGTTTAAAAAACATCCAGGTGAAGGATCCAACCGTGCGCACTTGTGAATACCGCAATTCTGAATCCCATCTTTGCCCGCGTTCCCTATGGGGCTACGAACCGTGCGAAGGGCGCGCCGAAATTCGTGGCGGGACACGCGGCGCGAGCGAAGACGATAGGTCTGTTTGCGACAGACTGAGCGCGAGCGAGTCTGATTATTGTGAATGAGTCTGCATGCGAATCAGTCCACGGACACAAACGTCGACGCCCGCGTCGGCGCGTTCCTCCCGAGGATCGCGCCCGCTTCCTTGCCGTTATTTTCTCCGTGGGCGCGGCGCCGCGCGGAGCGCCCGCGACGCGCGCCGGTCGCCTCGAAGGGGCCCCGGCGACGCGCGCGGGTCGTCCGCCGCGCGGAGCAGAGAGAGCTAGCTGGCGCTGGCCGATAGAGGGCATGGCTGCGGCCGGTGGGCAGGGAGAGGGCGGGGGCGAGCGAGGCCCCGGGCAAAACGCAGCGCGGAATTCCCGCGACGCGCGTTTGTCGCCCCGAGAGGGCCCCAGCGACGCGCGCGGGTTGCCCGCGGCGCGAAGCCAAACAGTCAGACCGTCGAGAGACGGCGAGGCTCGGGCGGGTCGCTTTTCATGTCAAGCCTCGCGGATAATCTCGGTGAAACCCAGCTTCCTGGCGAGGGCCGTCGCCCCCCTCCTACGCCCCTTCGTGCGCGTAGCAAACTGCTCCAGCTGCTTCCGCAATCCCTCCGGCGGCCCTGCCGGGAAGAATTCGATGCGCGGCGCCCGCATGAGCGGGAGGTCCTCGTGGCGTGTGGCGCGCGAGAGCCGCGCGTAGAGCTCCAGCCACCAGTCGTCGTCCTCCTTCCTGCCGTTCCCCACCCCGTGGCGGCCGCAGTCCGGGATCACGCCTGGGCGACGTCGGCCAAGGGGTCAGCGCGCTGGACAGCCGACGGCCCAGGGCGAGAGTCCACGAGACCGAGAGAAGGTCTCTAAAACGCGTGAGGGGCCACGACACGTGTGGGGGGTGTCCCAGAATGGGGCGGCGCCGCCGTGCGAACTGCGCCACTGGGACCTTAGATGGAGCTGCCCATGGGGCCACAGCGCGTGTGAGTGGTGTACCAAAATGGGGCGGCGGCGCCATGCGGGCGGCGCCGCTGGGGCCCTAGAGGGGGCTCCCAATGGGGCCACGAAACATGTGAGGGGTGTGCCAAAATGGAGCAGCGGCGCAATGCGGGCTGCTCAAGTGGGATCCTAGGTGGAGCTCCCGATGGGGCCACGAAGCGTGTGAGCGGTGTGCCAGAATGGAGCGGAGGCGCCATGCCGGCTGCACCGCTGGGGCCCCAGATGGAGCTTCCTATGACGCCACGAAACGTGGGGGGGGTGTGCCAAAATGGGGCGGCGGCGCCATGCGGGTTGCGCCGCGGGGATCTTAGGTGGAGCCCCCAATGGGGCCACGAAATGTGAAGGGTGTGCCAGAATGGGGCGGCGGCGCCATGCGGGTTGCGCCACTCGGACTTTAGATGGAGCTCCCTATGGGGCCACGAAGCGTGTGAGGTGTACCAAAATTTGGCGGCGGCGCCACGCGGGCTGCGCCAGTGGGACCTTCGATGGAGCTCCCTATGGGGCCACGAAACGTGTGAAGGGTGTGCCAAAATGGGGCGGCGGCGCCGTGCGGGCTGCGCCACTGGGACATTCGGTGGAACCCTTTTTATGGGGCCACGAAGCGTGTGAGGGGTTGTTGTTTGTTACCTGGTATAAAAGAGACGAACTCCACCAGTCTACGTGCCTGTTTGGAACTAGCGTTAAAAAGTTGCGTTGCGACATAACGCGCCTAGACGCTCCTGGGTGAAAGCTGGCATGCTGTCTCTCCACTGGCGTCTCTTCTGGGCGATCTGGACCCAATCCTGCTCTAGCCAGCCGCGGTAATGGCGAGGTAGCTGCCCTTCCTAGTGCCAGGGCGCGAGTTGGCCTGGGTGGCCCTGCGCATCGCTCGGCCGCTGGACACTCAGAAGTGCCACTTCCTGTCTGTTCCACAAAAGCACGATGCTAAGGAGTAAGCCCGGCTCGGTTGCACTCCTGCGCGCGATGTGCCCGCTGCACGAATGCAGGCGCCTAGTGGCCAGAGCATCGAGGTCCGTGAGCGCCAGCTGTGACTTCATAGCTCGGATCGCTTGGTTTTGCCTTTTGGAAAAATGCTCGTCTGTCTCGCCTAAAAAACGGGGGAGCCTCAGATGTTTCTTGTACTGGTTGTTTACCGCCGCCCGGAGCTTCTGCAAAGACCGCTGGTTCGCGACCCAGACCGGCGAAGCCCAGAGAGCCGTGCTCCGCGCAATTTTGTGATCAAAGAAAAAAGTTGTGCACAAGTAGAGGTGTTGGATCGGGGGATGCGGTGCGCCCTGCCAACCGACGAAGCCACTGAATACGTCTTACAATTCATGTCATGATCTGTCCTGCCAAAAACATTGGCGTGAATGCCGACGCACCAGAGGTGCTGCTTGAACTTCAAGGCACTCGTGCCCGGCCAGGTCGCCGAGTTGTCCTCTGGGTTCTGTGACA